TTTTTTTTTTTTTTTTTTCCTTCCCTTATGTGATATTATGATATGTTTCACCGTTGTGCTAAATGGATTTTTTTTTTTTTTTTTTTTTTTTTTTGTTCCGTGAAGGCTCCAGTGCGCTACAAAGAACGGAACGGAGGATACACAAGAATACAGCTATTACCGAAGAGCCGAAAAGGAGATGCGGCAAGGATGGCCACATTGGAACTTGTGTAGATATGCATGTCTCCTTTTATTTCCATTATGCGCGCCGTGATGCAAATTTTGTTGCGCAAAGTGTTTTTTTTATCCGAATGATCTACCAATTTGTTGCTGTTTTTTTAAATCACACTGCGAAGTGTATGTTGTACTGAATGCAATGTGGCATTTCGAGTACATTTATAATACCGTGGAGAGGCTTTTATGTATGTCTTTTTTTTTTTTTTTTAGTGTGCTTGTTCATTTTATTCGCCCATGTTGCGAAGCGGCAGTATAAGACATCCACAACATATATACGTGTTTTCACGAACATGAAAACATTTGCTAAATGTGGAGCAACTCTTTTACGTTATCCGCAATTTGTAAATATTTTTTTAAAAAGATACCACTTAATGCATTCATACGGGGGATTATGCATAATCGACCGCTTTTATTTTATGTCCCGGTCTCGTTTGGATGCTTCAAAATATTGCTGCATGTATATGTTGTGCTGCGCAGTTGACACTCCTTTCTCTTATTCCTCTGTGCGGGAAGCTGCAGGTATGAAGAGACAGACTCATATACACACAGTATCACGTGTGCGCAGTTGTTTCTCTTTCCAGGTTCCGCTAGTTGTAAATAATTATGCGAGGTGGTAAAAATTACACAAAGGAGAAGGGCACAAAAAAAATAAATCCAGTGGGCCCATCCCCCAATATGAATTAAACTTTTTTTAGGCACATGATACAAGGACATACACGTTCGTAGTTGTAATGCCCCATAGGGAACAAAGTAAAATTAAAGTTGAAATTGAATAACAATGTTGAATTGGTAAATAATTTTACTTTTTGTTTCATTTTTTAAGCAATTTTGACACTGTTATTTTTTTATTAACGTGGTTTGAATGAAATGGAGAGGTTAACAAAAAAATAAATGCAAAGGCATGCAGAACAACGCCAGGAAAACATCGGGAAAATGCGAGAAAAGAACACAGCTATTGACACACTTTTAAATCATTCGAAACATGACAATTTCACAACAGTGGCAAAACCACAAAAAAACATTTGCGTGTGTAGGAAGTGTTACCACTTTGCCTTATACAAAATAAAAAATAAAAATACGTATTTTTTTTTTACATTTTCCTGGTTTGCATGTGTCCGCCACCCCCACCAACAATATGGAAAAAACGCAAAACGTAAAATATGAATAGCAGCATTAATTGCAAAAATTGCACGAGGCAAAATAAGGAGAACGGAAAATAAATTGGCCAAGTTGCCAACTATTCGTTCAGCGCCGAGTCAACCGAAGCGCCAAAGTTAGGAAAACGCACAAAAGGAAATACATGCATACATTTCTGCGCAGCATTGAAGGCAAACAGAGCGGCAAAGATTTGTTAATTATATATAATTTTTTTTTTTTTTTTTTTTTGCGCACGATTAGCAAAAAATTTGAAGGACCATTCACGGATTTTATAAAAAAACGCTTCGCAGACAAAAAATAAAAATAAAATAATAAAGCATTTGTTTTTATCGCATCCTTCCCAATTGGTAAAAAGACAATTTTTATGTGCACGTAGGGACCTATCACACACTTTACACATGTGTGTGAACGCTGTAGCAGAGCGCATGTCATGAATTAAAAAGCTAGTTGACGCAAAATAAATATGTAATTGAAGGTAAATGAGGGGAGGGTGCACCTTTCGCGAATTTTGCGTAACATATCAGTAAGCACAGAGGACTTTTACATTTTCTGCGCAGACTGTGTAAGCGTGATAGAGAGGCCAGAGGGGGAGAGCGCGACTGAGAAACGATACGCGCCGTTGTATGCGGCGATATAGACACATTGGAGCGCACGCACATGAAAATAAATAAGTACAAATATATATGTTAATATACACATATACATGTACGTTTAGGCGCAGAAGAGCCGGCATTGTTAGCACAACTGCACTGGCTACAGAAACACTCCGTGTCTCGCGCATGTGTGTGTAGGCCACTCGCCATAAAAAATATACAGTTAAGTATCATACGTACCCTGAAGAACTAACCGCATAAAAGACGTAGAGCAAAATGAGTATGTTGCACCTGGAGAAGATACACGAAATGAGCAGCATGATGAGCCTGATTATGGGTATATTTCTGACCGTAGTGGGGTCCATATTTATGGCGATAGCGAACACGTTCATGAAGTTGGGGCTGAGCGACACAAAGAAGAAGAAGTACATGTTCACCAACTACTCGTGTGACATGAAATGGTACATAGGATTTATCGTGTACTGCTTCGGATCATTCTTACACATAATAGCATTAGGATTCGCCCCAGCCAGTACCCTAGCACCAATGAATTCATTTGGACTAATAGCTAATGCAATTGTTGCGAATATTTACCTGAAGGAAAAGTTAGGCAAAATCGAGATAATATCTACGATGGGAATTTTCTTTGGAGTTAGCATTTGTGCATGTGCTTCCTTCCTATGTGATGCTAAAGATGATGTGCATTTTAATCCAATTAATATAATTGAAAGCTGGAAGAACCCTTGGTACATTTTCTACATTTTCGTTTCCATTTTTTTGTCTTTTTTTACCTTAATATATTTAAATCACGAAGAAAATAAAATCATATCAGAAAATGAAGACATATACGCAACTAAGAGATACATCGAGTTAAATATGTATGATGAGAAGAAGGAGGATGTAGAGAATGGAAACAATTTAAACTACTCATTGAATACGAAAAGATTAAGCGAAACTGTAAATGCGTATCCAAAAACGATTGGGTTGGCATATGGTTTCTTAGCTGGGTTGATAGGATCTCAGTGTGTTTTAGAAATTAAAGAAATTGTAGCGTTTTTAAATATCGGGTTGACGAATAAGCATATTTATAAAACCCCACTACCCCACTTATGTTTTATTTTCCTCGTGATATCAATTTATCTGCAAATACATTTTCTAAATTTGGGTCTAACCAGAGGGGATGCCACTTTAGTTGTGCCCACTTATTATGTATTCTGGACTTTCTTCGGAACACTGGGCGGGTTGGTAAAATTCAACGAAATTGAAAATTTTAATTTTAATTCGATTCTGCTATTTTTAGTTGGTTTTGTGTTAACCGTTTTGTTTATTTCTATCCTGGCTGTGCAAGAAATTGCCTTCTTAAGAAAGTACGTTGATAAAGAAGTACCAGATATATCGTTAGAAAATTTAGACATTCATGCTCAGGTTTTGCAAAATAAAAAATTGTCAAAACAGGTTATATTAAACATGGGACTGTTTCCCGTTTCGCTGCTTGGCACAACAGTAGGGCGAAAAAGATTTCGCCCTTTATACGAGCGATTCAGGAGAACCAGAAGCATTCTCTCTGACACACACATAGGGGACCAGCATTGCGAATACTCTGTAGACACCAAAATATACAATGCCTACACATTGCCGTACGATATATACAACACCCATAAGGACTCCTTTCACTCTAAGAAGAAGAAGTACAGGAACACGGACCAGAGTGTGGAAAATACCTATGTGTTTTGAGGAAATTCTGTTGGGGCAACGAACAGACCGGTGCGGATACAGGCTTCTGTTATGATTTCGCTGTGCCGCCGGCACTTTGCCACTCTGTCAGTATACAGTGCAACTTTTTTTTTTTTCCTTCCAAATGAGACACCCGTATGTCCCCCTCCTCCATTATGGGCAAATTAGCCCACCCGGATATATCTCCTGTCTGTCGTGCACGAACACCAGTCGCGCTGGTGAGCGCTCGTTCACCCAATGAACGCGCGTGTGTGTTCATGCATTTGTATGCGCCTGCAACTGCGCGTTGGTAACACCATTCCGTACTTGAATGTGTGTAAATTAAAAAAAGTACCCTCCCATCACACCGCGCGCACACAATTTGTTTTTTTCATTGCACAAAATAGTACCTACTTATTTTACCCACAAGTGAACCTGCCACTACGTATCCAGCGATTTTTTTTTTTTTTCTTTCCTCTTTTTCTCCTTTTTTTGTTTTCCCCTGACCAGCTTTTGTTCTTTTAAATATCTTTTAAATATTCGCAATTTTTTTTTATTCCTCTTATTTATTTTCCCCAGTGTAAATATGTTTTCCTCATGCAGCAGTTGAGCCTTGGTTCTTTTGATTCCTCCTTTATTTATCTTTGCATTAGGCGTCTCCAGTTTGTTGGACTCACGACGGCCATTCGTAGCTCGGCATTCGTCACACCGCCGCATCTTGGACGTTCGTCTATCCACTTTTTCCTTTGTTAAAACTTTACCCCAGTGGATTACGATATTTTTTCCTCCCCAAACAACCAATGTACAAATGTTATGTATATCATGAATGAGCAACATGTTGGTTGCCACATTTTTGCTTCTTCTATGTGGACACGTTTGAGGCATCTACTTTATGAGGTTTATTTTGGGAAGTTGCTGTGAATGCCACCTTTTTAATGGCTATGTGTACGGCTATATTTAATTGTATTACTCTATGTGTGTGTTGCAAACCCCCCAGGGTGTGCCAAACAAAATAGGCAGTCACATGAGAGGCACTTGAATTGTTTGGACAAAGAGGATACCAATAGGCGAACGAATAAAATGTAAACTGTACATTGTCTCATCTATTGCCACCCCTACAAGCAGAGAACAAAAAAAAATTTTTAAATAATTTTCATTTTTTCTTTTTTTTTCCAAAAGTCCAACGTGCAGCCATTCCACAGCCTCACTTCATCACAGGTCACAAAATGATCGCGCGAGCGTTTGCACTTTTGTTTGTCCTAGTAGCAAGGACAACGATGGCAAAGACAGAGACATTGCGTCTAACTAGGTGTACCTCTTATTTCGTGCCCCCCCAGCACATGGGTAATAATAGGCACACACATGGCAGTAGGTTCCGCGGGCGGTATGTGGACAGACTAAGGCTCCTGGACGAATCTGTTAAAAGTATGGCCGCGCGAGGGGCGTTTCTACGTGACCATCTCAACGATATATAAAAAAAAAATACGCAAAAAGGAGGAATAACAATAAGTATATACGCAAATGTGAATGCCCACTTTGCTGCCCTTCTTGCAGACAACGAGCACATAATCAAGTTAACAGATAACGCCCAAAAGAAAATCAAAGTAATGTGAACTAAAAATGGATTATTAGTAGTAGAAAGATTTTTTTTTTGTTTTCCCTCCCCCGCGGCATATATTCCATAAAGGCGAACCGCGCATATATAAACAGTAACGTTGCGCACACCTGTCATCCTCCACATTTATGACTCCCTTTTTAGCAACTGGTAGCAGAAACGGAAAGGGACAGCCTAATACTAAAGCTGTCTGTAAAAAATGGAGGCTGCAAAGGGTTGCAGTACTCATTGAATCCCATCAGGAAGGTATGCATAGAAATGTTTTCACCGCAGTGTAACCAAGCAAAAGAAAAAAACTAAATTAAGCACATTTAAACAACTCACTCACGCTGCTACCTGTACCTAGTTATGTTCCGGTAACCATCACCGTCACCATCATTACAAATGTCACTACCATTTCTGCCCCTTTTTTTTTTTTTTGAAGGACGAAATCGAGGCAGATGACTATGTGCAGCAGTTTGAAGAATTAAAGTTCATTTTGTCCATTGATGCAACTAGCGTTATTTATATTTACAATAATATATTGGATTACAGCTACGATTTAATCAATGGTGGATTCAAGTACGTTTCCGTTATAGTATGAGTAGCATCTTTCACTTTGCGCCTTCACCCTAAAAGGTTTTATGCCAACGTTTGCGGTGTACACAGTATATAAAGGTCCCCGTTTGGAATTATTACATATGCTTTTTTTTTTTTTTTTTGTTGTTGCCATTTTTCCCCTGTAGGTTTATAAATCCAAATGCCACTAAAAAGTGTGGCTGTGGGAAGTCATTTAATGTTTAGCTGCTCAAGATATGACAATTTCTGTCCTTTTTTTTTTCCTTTTTTTGTAACATTTTTTTAAAAAGTAACACACTTTTCGCGTATCATTTGTTGACAAAAAAACTACGTTTAAATGATTAAAAAAAAAAAGTGTTTCTTTTTTGAATTAAACAAATTGTGTCGTACACATGGACAAATAAAAATTAAAAACATCGCGACGGTGCTCATTTGGGGGTGGACAGCAACGTCTTTCAGAAAATTTAAGGAAACTCAATTTGTGCTCATTTATCTCCGCTGGAACACCCCCTGCATCCACAATTCACACACTGCAAAACCTATGGAATAAGAAAAGCGGCGCCATGGCAACAGTGTAGCGAGATAGACACATCACTGAGGTGTCTAATGTTCGCGCTACCATGCAGATGTCACATGGGGGCAAACCTATTCATATATAAACACATGTGCGCCGATTTGAATATGCATACAACAGCACATTCCCCTTTGCAGTACTTACCCGATCGCCCAAATTACTTTTGGGCACTCTACAGATGCAGGTGTTGCTAAAGTTGCTGTCTGATACCTGGATGCACTTCAAGCAGCAAAGGTTTTCATACCCCTGCTTTCTCCACTTTGATATGAGCGCGCCGTCGACGTATTTTTCCTGCACCAGGTAGTCGTACAGTTCTCCTGTGCGAAGGTGGGGAAGTGTGGAATGCACATGGGGGTACGTATATATATATATATATATATATATAAATACCTATGTATATATACCCGCATGTTCACATGTCGTCATCAATCCGACTTGAGCGCAAATGGAACAGCAACAAACGCAGCTGCCATTAAGGGATAACGCAGGGATTCGGGTTGGGCAGAGCAACTTACTTGATATTTCCTTCCGCTTGTAGTACAACTCGTATATGTAGCGAGACGTTTGGTGGTTTATTTGAAATATGGGCCACAAAATTTCACTTTTCCTTTTCTTAGAAGTATCTTCGTTTTCCAAGCTGCGCATTTTTTTGTTCATTTCATCTAAAAAGGATTCCACTTTACTCCACCCCTCGGGTGGCTTCCTTGAATTCATCGTCCTGATGCGCGGCATGTTCGTAAAGGCATGATTTGCGAACAAGTTTTTGCATTAGTGGTCCAGGCATTTGGCTGCTTGGCGTTTTACCCGAAAGGTTTTTGTTTAAAAAGTCGCCACTTGGTAGAGCGTTCTTGTTCACGTAGGCGTTAATTTAAATACAGCGCGACCGTTAAAAATTGTTTACGCTATGAAAAGTGCATCCGCGAATTTTCCCCCGCTGAAAAGCATTTGCGCGTACATTTCAGGAATTTTAGAAAATTCGCTTTTGCCGTAGAGAGACAAAATTCGTCACTGTATTTGTGCTTTTCAGGAAACACAAAGTGGCCACTTTTTTTATCTCTTTAAATGCATGTTATATGAAGCCGTATGGGTAGCTTTACGCGATAAAAAAAAAAAATGGGAAAAAAAAAAATACATTACACGTTGTACTCACCACTCATTTCAAAAGTTCTTCCGTTAAGGATAGGCAGAGCAACAATGTGGTACACAAATGGCAAATATGTAGAGTATATAAAGGAATGGATCCTGGCGTTTGTTGTTGGTGGTAGTTCTTTCCTTCACCCTTTTTCAACTGTTTGAATAACAATGTATCATATGTGGTGATTAAGGTGAGTTTTCTTAATATTTCCATTTTGGCCATGCGCACCTCAACCTGGAAAACGAGAAACAACCTGACGAAGGAAACCAAGGGGAACGGACAGTGCTCAACGCAAACGGAAGCAAAGTTAACGTAATGAGTAACCCTTGTCAGGGTCTATGCTATCTTTATAGCGACCTTCACGCAGTAAATAGTTGGTTGCTACGACACAAAGGCAAACGTTTACAAGGGGAAATGCCAAGGAGGCATTGAAAAGAGTGCACAGTTATGTGCTCCTTTTAATTATAATGGGCGAATAGGGAGGCCATGTCAAAACATGAAAAATACATTTTTACACATATTGTTACCCATGAAAGGGGTAAAAACAAAAAAATATGACAATTGCTGTGTGCAGTTATTTTTATCACCTGAATGATATTTCAAATTTTATGAAAGAAAAGGCGTTTATCTTGAATAACAGTAGTTATGCATTTGCCCTGACAAATTTGAATGCGTATATTCGCAGAGGAAGGATAGCTATCCCGAAGTGTTTCCCTCAAATGTAGTCCTCTAAAAAGTTGTGATGCATATGGACAGATACGCGTCATCAATTTTGTTAATGTAGGACAATGTAAACCGTTTTATGTCATTTTTTTTTTTTTTTTAAAGCTAAGATGTTCATGTTAACATAGGAGGAAATTTGCGGACCTCCCTTTTACAGAAGTGATGACTGGAGTGGACACATGGCTGGTTAATTTTTTTGTCAGAAGTCGGTGAAATGTATACGCAATTCATACGTTTATTTCTCTTTTTTTCCTAGATATTTTTAAAGGGGAAACAATGGATACGTGTAATTACGTGTACATATTATTGTGGATGAATGGGGCGTGGAATTCTTCTCACGAAAAAGAACATAATTCAACACGCACCAACTGCTCATTATATTGAGTTATCACAGTATATATAATTAAAAGAGGAAAGACCCTTCGAACAGGCTTAAACCATTCGTTTTGTTGCATTTGTTCAGAGCTTCCTATGTGCCTGTTCTGTACGTAAAAAAAAAAAAAAAAAAAAAAAAAAA